AAAAAAAAAAAGAGTGGCAGAAAGGAACTTCTGGCCTTAAGCAAATGTATATTTAATATTGATACCTACTTCTAGTTGTGATTTTCTGAATTAAAATAAGAAATGATTGAAGTCCAAAGTCTAAAGAGGCATACTTTAGGCACAGTCTGATATATAGGTCACTAAGCTAGAAGTCAGCTTTTTCAGTTTTTTCATCTTTGGCATCAGCTTGTTGTATAGTTGGGGCAAGTTCTATTCCCTACAGGATCTTTAAGCATCACTCTCTATGTGCTTATATATTTGAATGTGTAGAAGGCTGCTGGGAGGCCAGCAGTTCTCCTGATGGACTGTCTGAGAAACCTTGGGTTGAGACCCCAAATCCTCTATATTCTGAAGTCTTGGAGCCTTTGATTTTGGTGTATCCCCATCACTGCTGCAGCTCTGTGCCTGGGCATCTGGCCTGTAGCTATGGTCTGCTTGGGGCGGAGTGGTGACAGTGGGTCTGAGGAAGACCAGCTTGTGGTTTCTAAGCAGCTCTGGCATCTCAGGGTCTCACTTCACCCAGACCTTTTCTCTGAAGGTCACACACTCTTGAGGACAGTTACATAGTACGTTCTACCTTTGTTATTAGTTATTATATAACTTCTGAAATAACTGAATTTATACAGAGCCTGTGGAAACATTGGTTTTCTAAAGGGAGGAAGCACCATGAGGGTACACATAAGGAATAGAGAGAGACAATATCTTTGAAACACAATTTTGGAGATCTCAGAAATGATACATGTTCACAGTAAAATCAAACAGTAAAAGTTAGCTAACATTTTATTACCCAGAGATGACCAATTTCAGTGTTTTGGGGAACTTTTTTTTTTTTTTTGGTCTTTTTGAGACAGGGTTTCCCTTTGTAGTTCAGGCTGGCCTTGAACTCACAGTGATCCTTTTGTCTCACCCTCCCAAGGACTGGGATTACAGATATGTACCTCTGTGTCCAGCTGGTGGACATCTTTACATTTTGTTAGAAGCTTTGAGGCAGAACTAGGCATTCACTGTGGGCTATACAACAAGGGATTATGAGGGTAGCGAGGTGGAGCAAGCTTGGTTTAGAAAAAGGACTTTCTCCAGAAAGACAGAAAGTGTATATTTTGTAGGTCCTTGAATCAGAATTCATTAGTTGCTGCCTATCTCTGGACATTGGAAATCTCTAAAAAGCTCTTTGTCCTTCTTTACACCAACACATGAGCTCAGCTGGCCCTGAGCAAGTGAAAGTGCTGGGCTGCCTTTATAAGTTGTCCTTTGTCTTGTGATTCTCTTTGGGGCTTCATTGTGTGAAGCCCGGAAGGAAGAATTTCATCCATAACCAGGGAAGTAAGCAGTGATATTAAAGGAGAAGTTGTTACTTTTTTTCTGTTTTGGATTGACCCTCCTTCTGGTCCCCTCCTTTGAGAATCTTTTGATAGTTTCCCTCTAGTGATGTATGTGCTGAGTTCCTCTGCAGTGAATAGCATGCGAGTAGACAGGTGTGTGGGGTGTGTATGGATGGAGCTGGATGTTTTGTTGTTAGGAACTCAGGGTTGGAAAAGGATGTTGTGACCCCCCCCCCCAGGACAATATTTGGGACACTTTCTGGGATTTGGAGAGCCATGTGATCACTGTCCCAGAGTAGCTAAGTCTTCACATGACCACTCCCAGTAAGGCAAGAGGTTAACAGGGAGAATGATCACTTGGAGTCCATTATCTCTTCCATGTGCTGCCATCTCTTCCCCAAAGGTGTCATGTAGGAGCTGGAAAAGGAATGAGCAAAATGAGTCATGTGCTTTTAGGTGGTAAACATTTATTGGCCCCTTAACTGGACAGTGCTCAAAGTTGTTGTCTAGTAGGTGAACTCTGGAAAGTTCCTTCTGAGCTAAGGAAGGAGTGCTTGGTAGGTTGTAAATCGTTTCTGTTTGTTGAGTTACTCTGTGTGCTAGAAGAAAACAGTATGAGATTATTGTATGTGCCTAGAAACTGAATATTCTTTTTCACTTTGTGTTCTTAGCCCTCCCTTTTTCAGCCTAGTTTTACAAAGAATGACTACTAGTACTACTTAGAAGCTCCCAGTTTAGTTTAATAAAGCTCATCTCTGAGAAGTGCCTGAGCTTTCTCTCTTCACCTTCACCTCTTATCTGTGATGTCTACCGGTATGAACACAGAATGTGGGGTTTATAAAATTCTCCACAGACGCTAGATTTGGCTCACAGAAATGGGAGAAAACCCAGCCATGCCTTGTTGAATGGATTTTGTTTTTTGGCTGCCTCTGTATTTCCTATTAGAAGAACTGGTTTTAAAGGGAAGAGAACCAAGGGCATGAATTATATTGTGTGTCTCTAATGAGTCACAGAGCCTTGTCCTATTAGCTGTATGGACAGAGTATAATGCAAGTGATTTCATGACAAGATGGATGAGTTAATTTTATTTTTAGTATCTTTTGCTTGATGGCTTGGAAATTATTTTATCCTTTGAATTTTTGAGATGAGAGAGCTTTCATTTTTAGTTATTGGTAAAGAAACGGCTTATGCGTGCAGCAAGTGTTCACATGCAAGGCCTGTTGAAGCATATGGTTTAATAGACTAAAAGCTATGGAGTAGCAGTGTTAACCTGGGCTTACCATGCTACCTTCCTGCCTCCACTTTCAGAATATTACGACTAGATTGATTCAGGGATAAGCAGATTGATTAGTGGAAGAGCATTTTGCTATATGGTAGAGGAATCATGACAGAGGAGGGGCTACTTAATATTGGAACTGGAGAATTGCTTGTCCACAGGGGAAAAGGTAAAATAAAGGAATTTGTGCCTCATGCTACGATAAAATCAGTGTTAGACAAATTAAATGTCAAAAACATAAGTTTAAATCTTGCAGAAAAAAATATTAGTACTGGTGAGATAGCTCAGAGGACTAAGTGCCTGCTTAGGCAAGCACAGGGTCCAGGGTTTGATCCCCAGCACCACATGCTGTGCTGGCCTGCCCCAGGGTGCACTGAGCCAGCCATTGAGATCTGGCATGATGGCACATGCCTGTAATCCCAGTGCCGGAGAGGCTGAAAACAGGAGGATCATTACAAGTCCAAGCTGCATAGTGAGACCCTGTAATACATTAAAAAAAATTAATACCTTTTTGACATCTGCATTAAGATTTTGTAAGCAATATACAGGGCTGGGGAGATAGCTTGGTGGTCTAAGCACCTGCCTGGCTAGTGCAAGGACCTGGGTTTGATCCCTGGTGCTGCATGCTATGCTGACCCCCTCACTGAGCTGGCCAACAAAACCAGGCATGGTGGCACACACCTGTAATTCTAGTGCTGAGGAGGCTGAGACACTATGAGTCTGAGCTGCCTAGTGAGACCTGTACCAAATAAATAAATTTTAAAAAATACGGAAAACACTGTCTATAAAATAAAAAGACCGATAAATTTGATTTTCTAAATTAGGAAAAGGATATCTTAAAGAGAAAAATATATGTAACATATAACCAACAAAGAGGATCAAGAAAATAGAAATATAAAGAACTCCTACAAGTTAGTAAGAAGGTAATAAATTACTGAATAGGAAAGTAGCATAAAATATTAACAGGCATTGTCCCCAGTTGCATATTTTAAGTTTCACTAGTAGTTATGAATGTATAAATCAGATGCACCATCCAATACTGTTTTACACTCATTTCATTGGCAAAATTTCAGAAGTTTGGTAATAGAAATTTTTGGAAGTCTCTGGATTCCATGGAAGGAATTTAGATCAGAAGATTGATCATACTGAATTGCTAGTCAAAATGTAAGTTGTTGGCTACCACAGTGGAATATGGCTAGACAGTAGCTTATAAAGTCAGGACCAGGGAGATAGCTCAGTGGTATATAATATAAAAATATTTTGTGCACCTTCCTTGGTTCAGTTGAAATTGAATATGCTCTCATGTATTTGAAGTTAATTTCTATTAGGCATTGCCCAGCCCTTCTTTATCAATTCAGATACCCAACCCATCAGTATTGTATGAGAGTGGAGAGTGCTTTCTCCCATCCTTTCAGAAGTAATCTTAAAGCCAGAGGGAAGTATGGGATCATGAGCTCAGCTGTCATGTCTATAAATGAGCACTGAGACTCAGGAGGGATAATGCTCAGGATCATTTAGGAAGCTAGTGACAGTCAGAACTGGAACGTATATTTTCCAAGTCGTTCCTGATGTTCTTCCCACTGACTGAAATTCATAGATGAGTCAAATACTTCATAAGCATTTAATATACATAAGAATTGTGTTAGATATTATAATATCCAACCTTTATCTCTAATTTATTAGTGAGGAAAAGTTTTCTCTAAGGTCACGTGACTAGAAAGTGGCAGGGGAGGATTAGAACACAGGTTCATTTTTGAGCCTACATTTCTCATATGTGCCCATTTCAGGTGTTTTTTCTTACCTGTCATGTTCAGTATCCTTTCTTAAGTTTCTCTGATGCCCAGGAGGGGTGTGTGTGTGTGTGTGTGTGTGTGTGGCCAGTTCAGCCTGCCCTGGGGGTGCTGGGGATTGAACCTCGGTCCCTGCACGCTTGCCTAAGCTTGCGTAAGCAGGTGCTTTAGACCACTGAGCTATCTTGGTGCCCTCTAGGAGTTGTTTTTACTCTTCATTCTGTTTTTATTTCCAGGCTAACCTCTGCTTTGTGGATGTTGACAACCACTTCATTGAGCTGCCAGAGGATCTGCCTCAGTTTCCCAACAAATTGGAATTTGTCCAGGAGGTCTCTGAGATTCTCATGGCATTTGGCATTCCCCCTGAAGGAAACCTTCACTGCAGTGAGAGTGCCTCCAAACTGAAGAGGCTCCGGGCCTCTGAGCTCGTCTCTGACAAGAGGAATGGGAACATTGCCAGCTCTCCTTTGCATTCCTATGAGCTCCTCAAGGAGAATGAAACTATTGCCCGGCTCCAAGCCTTGGTCAAGCGGACTGGGGTGAGCCTGGAAAAGGTAAGATGCTGTATTTGAGTCTGTGATAATTTGATCTGTGCTAGACTACTGTCCCAATGAAGTAAGGTTGTACTGAGGAAGTACCAGTTCAAAGCACAGCATATTTGTGAATGTTCTTCTCCAGCAGATGTTACGCTTGCAAATGCTGCTTGAATCCAAATGTGAGTGGCTTCTCACTTGCATGTTGAGGAGAGCCTGCTGCCATTCTGTGTGTGAACAAAGTGACTTGGAGGGATGATGGTGGTCCTTCTGTTCAGACTTTTTCCAGATCCATTTTTTATGTGTGTTTCATAGCAACCCAAGGCACAAAGAACAGGCACTGCGTAGCTCAGACAGCCACTGTGTTCTCCTTGAGATTCGGTGGCTTAGCAGGTAGTTGAGCTGAGTCTAGAACTAGTCCTCTTAAGTTCTAGTCCTGTGGGATTATGGGGAATGTACTATACAGTTGTTGGCTGTCCCCTCCCTCTCTTCTCCTTCCCTCTGTGTGTCTTTCATTCATTCATTAGTTAATACTAGGGATTGAACACTGGACTTTCACATGGCATTACATCCCAAGCCCTTTATAATTTTTATTTTGAGTTAGGGTCTTGCTAAGTAGCTAAGTTGTCTATCTAGACTGGACTCCAGCTTGTGTTCCTCTTGCTTCAGCCTCCCAGAGTACTGGGATCACAGGTGTGCAGCACCACACCTGGCTGGGGTGTCCATTTTCTGTCTTTGAAACTGAGCATTCTATACCTGTTTGCCTGTCTCTTTACCTTCTCCATTCTCATTGTTTGATTATTTTTGTGAATTATATGAAAAAAATAGGTCATTGTATTAATTTTGTTGGAATTTTTTTAGTGAAATGCGAAACATTTCATTTTTTTTTCTGCTTTAGTTCATCAACACAACAGATACTTTTAAAAAAGTCATGGCCACTTAAAGGGCAGAGAAAAGTTTAGGAAGATTTGAAGTTTTGTTTTTCTTAAAAGAATCCTTAGAAAGATAAGGAAAGTGATGTGGTGAACTGACAAAGAAACAAAGAGCCAGCATTGGTGTTTACTTACCAACTCTCTAGAGTCCTTGACCCTTGAGATAATTAGAACTTTTTCCTTTGTAGCTGATTTCTTTCTACCTACAGTGGTCTTATTTCCACTTTGAGTTGCTGAAAACCTTTATATGGAATTCTTTATCTTCCCTAAATTAGAATTTTGCTCTTTTTTAAATGTATATTTGGTACAGGGTCTCACTCTGCAGGAGCTCAGACTCACACTGATCCTCCTGTTTTCAGACTCCCCAGCTCAGGGATTACAGGCATGTGCCACCACACCTGACCTCAGTGGCTCATTGTGCCCAGAGCAGGGCTGGGGCTGCATGTGGTACCGGGGATTGAACCCTGGTACCTGTGCTTGCCTAAGCAGGCACTTAGTCTGCTCTCCCACTGGCTCAGAATCTTGCTCTTGAGGACTGAGGATATAGCTTGGTGGAATAAGTGCCTGCCTGGCAAGCGCAAGGTCCTGAGTTTGATCCCCAGTACTGAAAAAAAAGACTAGAATCTTGCTCTCTTATTTTTTCTTCCAACTTTTTTCTCTTTTGTTTTCACCTTTTCATCATTTGCTGCTAAGTAAAAGACTACTAGAAAAAAATCAGATGAGTTACATTTCTTTTTGATTTTTGGGATGAGTTACATTTCTTTGTTTTAAGATGAGTCTTGATGTGTACTCCAGACTGGCCTCAAACTCAAGATCCTCCCACCTCAACCTCTGAGTGCTGGCTGGAATTATAAATATTGTATGTTGGAGCTGGGGAGATGGCTCACTGGAATAAGCGCTTCCCTGGCAAGCGCAAGGGCCTGAGTTCAATCCCCGGTTCCACAAAAAACAAAACAAAACAAATATTGTATGTATATTTCTTTTGTTTATATGTAAAATAACTTTTCTCAATCTTTTTTTTTTGTAGTTGGAAGTGCGTGAAGACCCCAGTAGCAATAAGGATCTAAAAGTTCAATGTGATGAAGAAGAACTCAGGATTTACCAGCTAAACATTCAGATCCGGGAAGTTTTTGCAAATCGTTTTACTCAGATGTTTGCAGATTATGAAGTATTTGTCATTCAGCCCAGCCAGGATAAGGAGTCCTGGTTTACCAACAGGGAGCAGATGCAAAACTTTGATAAAGTGAGTATAATCCTATTTGGGAGGTGGTGAGGAATGAAAACTTCAGTTACATCTTGAAGGAGTAAATGAAAATGAGTTCTTCTTTCATATTACTGGAACTAGTTTCATAGTCTTCTGATGTTGGCAAAGGGAAAGTTCTTGTTGCTAAAGAACAGATGTTCTGGTTATTACTGTAAGGTGACTTACTACCAGTTAAAGCATCCCTCCTTCCTTCCTGCCTCTTTCTTTCCCTCCCATACAACACTGGGAGAAAGGACTTTTGCACCCCTGGTGCTGGGGTTTGAGCCTAAGAGCTTTAAAATTTTTTAATTTTTTCTATATATTTAGTACAGGGTCTACACAGATCAGACTTGTAATGATCCTTCATGTTTTTCAGTCTCCCAAGTGCAGGGATTACAGGTGCATGCCACCACGCCCAGTCTCAATTATCATTTCAGTATGCCCTGTGTCAAGGCCAGCGTGGCAGGCCGGGGATTGGAACCCTGGCCCCTGCATCTGCCTAAGCAGGCACTTTAATCTGCTGAACTATCTGGCTGGCCCTCAAGTTTTTTTGTTTTTTGAGATAGGATCTCACTAAGTTGCTGGACTTGAACATGCAGTTCTTCTGCCTCAGCTGTCTAGAGTGCTGGGATTATAGATTTGTGCCACCACATTTGGCTAGAACAAGGAAAAGTGTACATGTAGATAAGCATCAGAATCAATGAGTTGGGCTGGGGAGATAGCTCGACGGTCTAAGTGTCTGTCTGGCAAGCACAAAGACCTGGGTTTGCTCTCCAGTACTGCATGCCGTGCCAGCCCCAGAACCATGGATGAGTCGTGTCTGCCCTGAAACTGGATGGGGGGGCACATGCTTGTAATCCCAGGACTGGGGAGGCTGAGACAGGAGGATCACTATTGAGTCTGAGCTGTGTAGTGAGACACTACCAAATAAATAAAGAAATAAATAAATGAAAGATTTTCTTTTTTAAAAGGAGACACTGCCAAAAAAACAAACAATAAATGATTTTTTTTAAAAAAAAGAATTGATGAGTTGCCCAAAAGGTACCAATATGAATTTTTTTTTTTTTTTTGGTGGTACCGGGGATTGAACTCAGGACCCTGCACTTGCCAGGCAAGCACTTATTCTACTGAGCTGTCTCCCTGGCCCAATATGAAAGTTTGATACTTCAGTTTATATGAGTTTTTGTTTTGAGATAGGGTCTTAACTGTATAGCCCAGGCTGGCTTTGAACTAGCTCTGTAGCCCAGGCTGGCCTCAAGCTTGTGATCGTTCTAGCTCATCATCCCATATGCTAGGTATATGAATATATATGATTGCTGGTATTGGTGCATGCCTACAATCCCAGCTTCTCAGGAAGTTGAGGCAGAGGAATAACAAGTTAAAGGTTACCTGGGCAACTTATTAAGATCTGTCTCAAAATAAAATAAAAGGGCTAGAAATATATCTCAGTGGTATAACATATACAAGGCTCTGGGTTCAATCTTTGGCATTGCAAAGAAAGAAAAAAAAGGAATAAAAATAAGGAATTTGAGTGTGGCACTGTAGGAGTGTGATCTTAGTACTCTGGGAGGCTGAGGCAAGAGGATGGCAAGTTTAAACCTAGCCTGGGCAAATTAATGAGACCCTGCCTCAAAAAAAGAGGGCAGAAATAAAATATATATATGAAAAAAAAAAAAAGAGGGCAGGATTTTGTAGATTGCTTTTCATAAAGATCTAGTGTGCTCCAAAGAAGAGTTAATCCACCACTTTCTTGGAGCATATTTATTTTGCTGGTCAAGGCTGCCATTCTCTTCCTTATTGTTCCTATCAGTGACTTTTTTCTTTTGGTTCTACCAGGCATCTTTTCTGTCAGATCAGCCCGAGCCCTACCTGCCCTTCCTCTCAAGATTCCTGGAGACACAGATGTTTGCTTCTTTCATTGATAACAAGATCATGTGCCATGATGATGATGATAAAGACCCCGTACTCCGGGTATTTGATTCCCGAGTAGACAAGATCAGACTGCTGAATGTGCGCACGCCTACCCTCCGCACCTCTATGTATCAGAAGTGTACCACCGTCGATGAAGCAGGTGAGGCCTCCTTGGAGCCGTGCACTTCAGTCTTTGGCGTATGTCATGAACAGGTCCCTATCTCTAAATCTCTAAGCACACCTTCCTCTTGTCTCTTTTTCTGGGCCTGCTTTTTTTTTTAATATGTCACTCAGATTTTATTTGATTACATACAACGGAAACTATTAATGGTTTAGGTGAATAAAATTAAACATCTCATCAAACACTTGTAACTTACAGCAACTAGAACAAAAGCACTTGGTAGCAAAACACTATTACACAGATATACTTAGAAATCCTTTAAAGACTCTAAAGCATTAGGATTTTTTTTTTTTTTTTTTTTGGCCCCGCTCAGGATGCTTTAAGGGCAGGTCTGTTAAAGCATGAGATTCTGGGGATCAAACCACAGAATTCTGAACCTGACTGCTTTGCTTAAGCAGGCACTTAAACAACTGAGCTAATAGGCAGGCCCCCAAAGACTCTAAAGCATTAAGTTCACATTTAATGTTACTTACAGGAACAGCCCTGTATTTGAATACTGTTCCTTTTGCATGTTACCATCCCTGCATTGTCTTGTCTGGCTGCTGCTGTCGCCTGACAGTCTTCTTTTCATCTTTGAACATGGTGTCAGGAAGAGGTGGTGCTGTAACAACCTAATCATCATCGGTGGGGTGAGCAGAGGTGGGGAGGGGAGAAACGGGCTTGCTAATATTTGCCTAGCTTCTTAACAGCCAAGAACTGACATTCTATTTCTTTACTCAGCTCTCCTTAACATGTTGACTTTTATGTTTACGCTGTTGCCTCATGGTTATGAGGCGTTTTATATTCAAGGCAAGAAGAGAGGAAAGTTGATGCCAGCTGTATATACTCCTTTACCAGAAAGCAAACTTTTTTCCAGAAATTCCCAATTTCTTTTGTCTAATAGGCCTGAATCATGTTATATGACCACCTTTAAAATGCAAGAGAGCTTGTGAAAGAGAATAGTGAGCTGGGGCTCACGCTACACTAAATAACAGAGGAGTGCTGTAATCAAGAAAGAAAGAGTGAATGAAATATGAATAAGAAGTAGGTGTTTTTCAGCAAACACAGAAACCTAGCCAATATATCTTCTGTTCTCTGAGGCTTCTCTGATAGACCAGGTTGAGCATGTGTACTCCTGCTTCCTTATTCTTGTCTCACCCCCAATAATTCCTTTTCTTTTGAGCGATCATCTTCAGGGAACAGCTTAAATGCAGAGACTGTATTTAGTCATTTTCTTACCCTGATCTAGCATTGTGCTGGAACATATGGATATTAAAAGTTGTGGAGGCCGAGCCCAATGGCACATGCCTATAATTCTAGTACTCGGGAGGCTGAGGGAGGAGGATTGCTGTGAGCTTGAGGCCATTCTGGCTACATGGTGAGTTGAAAGCCAGCCTGCACTATATAGTGAAGCCCTGTCTCAAAACAAAACAAAAGAGCCACTTTTTTTTTGACAGAACTGGGGATTGAACTCAGGCCCTTGCGCTTGCCAGGCAAGCACTTTTTCTACTGAGCCATCTCCCGGTCCCAAAGCAAAACAAAAGAAACAAATGAAAAAGTTGTGCACTACACTAATGATTGAGTATATCTTTTTGTTCACAGAGACCATATCTAGAATAGTTTTGATAGACAGTGACAGCTTAAAATGCTAGATGAAGTAGTATATTCCCTTTCTTATAGGATGTTCAGTCCTTATTGTGGCTTTTTTGTGTCCTTTCTTCATTCATTAATCATATATTATACCTTCTGTCTGCTCAATCTATACTATATGCTGAACACATATTTGCCAAATGAATAAAGAGGCCAGGCATTTTAAGAAATTTTTTGTTTTAAGGTTTTGAAGTTACAGCTGATTACATTTGGAATATTTCTCCTGATCAACCGTACCCCCTCCCCTCCCATCTCTGCC